AACAATGCATATTAGTTTTGAAATTTAATATGAAGGGGTAGAAAATGAAAATTAAAGTAAAATAATTTCCCCCTGTGCTTGTTCTTTTAACCATTCAGGAGAAAATCTTTACTCTAAAGTTCATAAAGTTGTTGATTTCTCGACTGTTGTGACTACCTGATGTTACTCCTCATCATTATAACAATCAATCCATTCTCCAAAATATTATTACTTGGGTCTCTAATGCACCTAAAGGAAAGAAAATAAGAAGAAAAGGGGGTCCCTTTAGCCTTTTGAATACATATCCAAACCAACTTTAGGAAAATATTTTGAACAAGCTTATGGGATAACTTAGTGGTTGGAAATAAAAGAGCTCGCTTTTGCTAGTAGATTTTAGTTGATTTATTCTTCCATTTGGAACTATTTGTATTATTGGCATATATTGATTACTCTTCCTAATGGTCTAAAGAGAAAAAACAACTCCCTTATTAATAATTTTCTTTATGGGAAAGAAATCACTAATAAGGTTCACATAATTCCTTTAAGCTTCACTTCCATACCTAAAGATAAAGAGGGGCTTGGTCTCCCTTCCAATGATATCCATCATACTTTATCCTCAGCTAAACCTTTATGGAGAATTTAAAACATTGCAAGCCCTCTTAAAGATTGATGCCACAAATTTTATGATTTTGTTTGGATCAAATTTACTAGCTTCCCCTTCATTTTCTATAAATAGCTTCATATTTATACATATAAACTTTGAAATATTATTGAGTTTACTGATTTTGCTAGCAATTAACTCTCTTTTTTTTTTAAAGATTTGTGGCTCAATGAGATGTCTCTTTATGAAAAATTTAAACCTCAAATCATTCATCTATTCCAATGTAGTCATAAAGCTAAGCTTTTTTAGTTTATTTATAACCATCAATGGTCTCTCCCCCATTTTCAAAATGTCTATAATATGAATCAAATCCTTAAGACCTCATGCCTTCAGTCTTTAGCTTGGGCAAAAAACCATATCTAATGTGTAAATTTACTCTCTTGTTTTTTAGGAAGCTCCTATAGTGATGTGGCATAAACATATTTGATTTAAAAGTTATGGCTTTGAGAGAGATAGGCTACAACTGGTGAGGGATCCATTGTGAGATCAATAGATTATTTTGACTACTACATATGATAATAGGAAGTAGGCAGAATGTAGAAGGGAAGAGTTTATGGATTAGGCTTTTGACATATACATTTGATGGACAGTCCATTAATTCAGTAAGCTTCTAAGCTAGCAGCAAGGAGGGGTTGGTTACCCAATAGGTGACTACCTTGGCAGTAGAACTAGAGCAAGTGCACAAATCACAAGAAGACATGCAAATGCCATAAAGTAATATACTATAGGAGCTTAAGAGAATCAGGGAGAAGATCAATGGAAAATAGCCTACATCACCCTAGGAGAGTGAGTCGAAAGTGTCAGAATATAGCATGTATGGTTGCAATTATTTTATTTGCAATTTTAGTTTTTAAGAATTTTAGGATTATTGTAGAACTGCTAGCTTATTATTTATTTTTGTAATGTTTAAGAGTTGTTTGATCAACATATAATGAATTTTAAATATATAATTATGATAATGAACTATTCGATCATCTTATATCTATTTTTGATACATGTTTCATGAGTGATTATGGAATAATTAACATGAGAAATTATTATTTTTTGTCTGTGCTACAAGTTTCCAATGGAATGTTTGTTAGAAGTTCGATATGACAAATTTTGAACAAGGATGCCGATAAAAATCCATCGATTTTTCCAGTGGATAATTTAATCGATTAAATTAGCAGATTACCAACAACAAATTCCACATGTTATTCCAACACAAAATATGACGGTTATCCCATAAAATATGACGGATTTTCTTTCGTGAAACTATAAAAAATTCTTCAAAACCATGTATGTTAAACAAAATCCATCACAAATATATTTCTGATGCTCATTTTATTGAAAAAAAATATTATCCATCAAAAATCTGCTATAAACAATAATTTATAGTAGAATTCCAAGCTTTTTTCAACATATATTTTGGCAAAAAATGATAAAATTTCCTATATTGTATGATCCAAAACATGGGTTGGTTAGTTTCAAGTGGGTGATTTTATATTTTTGAAGGTCAGCTTATGATGGTTGAAATTTAAGTACAAGATATATTAGACCTTTAAATGTGATCAGTAAAGTTGAAAAACTTGCTTATAGATTATTGTTGTCGGATTACATATTTGATGTGAATGATATATTCCATGTATATGTATGAAAGTAATCTTAATTATAGAGTTTTTTAGCATAAAATTGAGGTACAAGCTAGTTTGACCTATAAAGAAGATCTAGAGCTTATCTAGCTAATGATGTAAGATATGTGAAGAGAAAATAAATCCCTATGGTTAAAGTTTAATAAAAACACATGTTAGATAGAGAGGCCACATAGTAGAAATATGCTAAGATGAGGAAACTCTACTCATACCTATTTTGAATGCTAGCTAGTAGTGAATGTCAAGGATGATATTTTTTCGAGGAGAGATTTTAATGACTACTTATATAGTAAATGAACTACCCATGGTAACATGATTCTAATCTAGTAAGATTTGCATGTTTAATTAATATTTAATGATTTTGTGAATTATTAAGATTATATTAATTTCGTTGGGAATGGCCTCTTAGGAGTACTGCGGCACTGCATGTTCTATTTTTGGCATGACGGTGTTGTCATGCTGCACTACAATATTGATATGTCTATTTTTTTAATACAATTTGCCCCTTGGGGGCACTACAATGCTGAAGATAGGGTGCTGCAATGCTAGAAAAAAAATATTTTATATAAATATCTAAATCTACTTTTTGAAAGTCATTTGATTTCATTTGGCTAGGTGAAGAGGAGAGTTAAAATAAGATAGTGAAGAATGTTGATAGGTCTTAGAGCCATTTTCTTTTATTAGGCTATTTGATAATATTTTTTTAGCTCGAGGCAGGCCATTGTTATCCTACTTCATATTTCAATTTCATGGCTTTTGTGTGGATTTTTGATATTTTATTTGAACAAATTTTGTACAAATTTAAATCTACAAAGATTGAGAAACTTTTTATCACATAACTTTTAGTATGTTATAAAATAGAATATTGTAGTCATATTAACATGTTTAAACTATATATGTTGAAAGTATTCATAATGATATTATATATATTTGTACATGTTGAAAGTAATTTGATGTTTTTATAGGCATGTGGTCAAATGTGTTCGTTGGAGGCGGGGGGGGTTGGAGGCGGGGGTGGGAGGGATGAGGAAATGCCAGTAGCTGATGATGTATATTTTATGTGCATTGAAGAGGAGATATAAGGCCTGCGCACTTATATAATTGTTCATTTGTGTGTTTGATATGTCTAAACATATGTGACATTATTAAGTGGAGGTTTAAGTGGAAGTAGAGTTATAAAGGGCTTAGAGAAATTATGATTAAATGGAGTGGAGGTAGAGTTTTAACGGGCATAGGGAAATTATGATCAAGTGGAGGTCTAAGGAGGATAATGAAAAAGTGTAAGATATTGAAATGTAATGTTAAATGTTATTTCCTTTTGATTTTTTTATTATGTTTAATGAATGCTTATTTTGTTATATTCCAATATGTACCCTATATGGTTACAAGCTTCATTTTATCACATATTTGTTAGTTATAAGACAAAATATAAATATTATATTAGTTTATTAAATATATTTTGTTGTTCATGCAAGATTATACTAATATGCTAGTTACTGTATGCGTGTATTTAATTCTATAATAGGGTTCAAGTAATCTGTTGAGCAAGTTTTGTTCACTCTTATTTTATTTGTACATGTTAATTTCAGGAAATGATAAAACTTCAGTTGAGTAGATTTCAAATACTTCTAGAACCGTATTAGGTATGTTTATTTTAGGAACACATTATTTTAAGAATCATGGTAAACATATGTAATTAGGTATCTTTTGATTTTGTCTAATGAATTAAATGAAAGAATCTTCATTTTGTTATTATTGTTTATTGGATGATATAGAAAGATATGTATTTGTAAATATTGATGAAAATATGTATGCAATAAATTTCTTTCAAATTAGATGTTGGGCTATGGCACCACCACCTTATCACCAGATAAGTTTCTTTTAAACACAACATTAAAAAATTATGTTTGCTCCACTTCAAAAAAAGATCACCGCTATTCCCACCCTACACACCCTTGACATATGCTTCAATACTATTATGGCAACATCTTGCGTACATTTAATCCAATCCCATGCCCGCCATATTAAATATAATTGTCACACTTAATGCACCACAACAACCCTATTTCAATACTATTTTTTATTCACCTCACACGTTACATGTGATGAGTGTTTTTGAAACCCTTTCTTCAACTATGGTATCATATGACACATCCTCTGCATTACCCTTTTCTATTTCTATTATTGAACACAATTTCTTTGTGATATGGAGAGCTTTGCTATACTTAAAAAAAACAAGCTTTGTCATGATTTAAGCATCCTATGAATTGCAATGCAATTTTTTATTCAACTCTGTAAAGAAATCCAATAAGAGCATTATTTTTTTAATATTTTTTCTAATTAAAAAATAAAAAAATAAAAAATTATTTTTTTGCTAATTAAAAATATTATATTTTATAAAATTATAAATATTAAGGGCATCTCCAACTGATAACTTCATTTTTCACGGCAAAGCAACGCAAAACTCTAAAATGTCGTGGTGATGTTCCAATCGAACGTCATTTTAGGTGTTTCTAGGAAGGTAACGATCGCTCTCCCTTTCACGCGTTTTTCCGGTTGAGAGCAGAAAATGACGTGAGTGAATAATGCGACGCCAATATTGACGTGACACTGTTCACCTGCAATGGCGGAAATTTTCGCACGGAACGACCCCATATCGGTTGAAGATGACCTAATTGGCAAACATCTTTATAAATTATAATTTTTAATTGCAAGCTAAAAGTGAATGTCGGGATTTGCTGCTGCTTGCAATTGAATGGCCCGCCAGAAGAAAGACAGCTTGTAGCTGTACGCCGCTCTTCCATTCTGCATTTCCGCTGTTACTGCTACAGTGGACACTCTTCTTCGTTCTTCTTCCCAGATTTGTCAATGGCGGTTGAGATAACGAACTTCAGCCGTCTTCTCCTCTTATTGTTCTTTCTCGTGGTCTCTTCCACTTCGGCGGAGAATGTCACTTACGACCACCGTTCACTCATCATCGACGGTCGGCGCCGCCTCCTCATCTCCGCCTCCATCCACTATCCTCGCAGCGTCCCCTCCGTTAGCTCTTTCTCTCTCCCACTTCTCTTGCTTTGGTTTTCTGAATCATGCTAATTGAGCTCGGTGAGCAGATGTGGCCGGGCCTTGTCGCGTCTGCGAAGGAGGGAGGAGCTGACGTGATCGAGACTTACGTCTTCTGGAACGGTCACGAACTTTCCCCAGGAAATGTGAGACATTTTCTTACCTAATCGAACTCTTTCTACACCTATTTCTCTTTTTAGATTGCTGATTTAAAGCAGGGATGTGTTTTTAGTATTCTTTCGAGGACCGTTTCGACCTCGTAAAGTTTATAAATGTTGTTAAGGATGCGGGGATGTATCTGATTCTCCGAATCGGGCCTTTTGTTGCTGCTGAGTGGAATTTCGGGTGTGAAAATGCTCTTTACATTTCCATCTGATGTATGGAACTTACAGAGATGGCTTATGATAATAGGATTTTGTGATTTTGCAGAGGGATTCCTGTTTGGCTGCATTACATTCCTGGTGTTGTCTTTCGATCGAACAGCCAGCAGTTCAAGGTGCGTAGATGAGGGTTTGTGCTAGCATTTTGTCCTTTTTTAACTTCAGCTGGTTTTTGTTCGTTTCAGTAAATGTTGTCTTGGTTTATCATGTTTGTTACTGCAGAGTCATATGCAAAGCTTTATGACATTTATAGTGAACATCATGAAGCAGAATAAGTTATTTGCATCGCAGGGAGGTCCAATCATTTTGGCTCAGGTAATCTAGTCCCTCATGAATGTGAAAAGTAATAGAATTTGTGAACTGAAAGAAATTATGATAAACCAAGTGAATGTACGAGACTTGTGATCATCATAGCTCTACGAATTAAGGCACTCACAATTCGGGAGTTTCTTGTTTGTAAGTGGAAAATCCTGAATGGGAAAATTATATGGCCATGCTAAATGTGAAACTCTACTGTTGGTGTAAATAAGCATTGATGCTTGTCCCCCTTTGAGCAGTTAGAGTTAGTGCTAGAGCATCAATAATGCCACCAAAATGGCCATAGTGATGATGACAACATTGAGAACCATAATGGTTACCATGTATTTCAGATTCAGGTGTGATAGAAGCAAGAGATGATACAAACTATCAACCATGTCTCCGAGTAGGGGTATAAATGAGTCAAGTTGAGTTTTTGCCTTATCGAGTTAATCCTGTTTTGTTCTTAATGAGTTTAAGCTCGACTCGAGCTCATTTACAAGCTCAAGCTCGACTCGTTAAAAAATTTATATGCTTGAGCTCGGTTTGATTTCTTGAGCTTGTTTGGAAAGCTCATGCTTGGCTTGATTTCCTAGTTTTAAATTAAAATTTTTCTTTTTATTAGATTTTTTATTTTTAATATATAATTAATTTAAGAAAGGTTAAAATGTATTATATAATGCTAATTTAAATTAATTTTTAATATATTTTAAGTTAATTGAGCGGTTTAATGAGCTTATGAGTTAAGCCAAACTAAGCTCGAGCTAATGTGAGCTTGAGTATAGGCTCAAGCTTGAACTCATGGCTCGATAGACTTGTCTCGTGAGCTCGTTAAAGAGTTAAGCGAGCCCACTTGGCTCACACCCCTATCTCCAAGTGGCGCCAGCACAAATATTGAAGATTCAAAGTGTCGTTGACCATATCAATGGTGCATAATCAACAACTGCTATAAGCAGTGTCTCATTGTTGGTGACATCTCCAACAACTACAAGGATTAGCATATTATTTTCCACGTGAGAATATCATCTCGGTGCTAGCAAGTGACACTAGGTGTTAGAAAGAAACATGATGCATAATTATTAGCTAGCAGCGTCACATTATCAAGGAGTGGGCCTGATGTTCAAAATGAGCTTTCGTGCTTTATTGTCTATGAGCGGTACCTGTATTCAATAATGAGCGGTACTTGAATTCAATAATGAGCGGTTTTACGTCATAAAAAAGAGCAAAGTTCAAGAGTCTTCTCAAAGCTTTAGAGATTTTAGAGAATTCTTTTGAGTTAACTAGATTTTAATGGATTTATAGACTCGAAGAGTACTGATTCGGCCGCATATAATTCTAAATCCCATGGCCATTTAGAATGGATGGGGAGATTGAAATCTATCCTATTATCAACAATTACTTAAGTTAAACATGCCTTAGCAATGGTCCAACAATCCAACCTACTTGACCTGCTTATTTGATTGATAGTAATTGTCATCAATGCTGTCTCTACAAGGATTTGAGTGCACCATATTGTTAGTGGCTACATTCTGAGTACATTTATGGTGACAAATTGAAGTTCCGTCCAAAGGATTGTTGCAGTCAAATATGATAGAAAAGAACAATAAAATTTAATATGAAACCATTCCTTTCTTCATGGAAACTATAAATGAAATTGCTAAACTAAGCTAAAATCACCAACAAGCTCATGACTCGGTAATAATGATCACCCCATCGCTACATATTCTTCTCAACATCCCATCTTCTAATACACATCTTTTCAAAATTTTTTTCCTAACTATAAAACTTTCCTTATAAATATTAGCTCTAATTCTATTATAATAACACAAACTGTTTTTGAGGTACTTGAAAGCAAGACTTAGAAGGATAACATGAGGGAAAAAACGAATGTACTGGGAAAAATATATACTAGGAAGATCAGTGAACTACCAAAAGTGAAGAAATTGATAGGAATTGATGGATCTTATCTATGAAATATAGAGAAGATGGAAACTTGGAACGATATAAAGCGAGATTAGTAGTTAAAAGACATTCGATCCTATGGAATTGACTATCAAGAAATTTTTGCTCTTATTATGATGATGAATACAATATGCATCTTAATTTCTCTTGCTGTAAATCATTGATAGTCCATGCAACTATTTGTTGTAAAATTGGGTGTTATGCTATTATATATGAATGTTTGTGGTATACTACTAATAATTCCAATAAGAAAAACGTCACTAACATATGTCAATTAATAAAAAAGAAACCACTCATGGAATGGTTATATTGCAATATCGTGGTTTTTAATATCATTACAGTATTTGTTTTTTTTGTTTGTTTGTAATCATCTTTTATCTGATTGTGCTAATTTCTTTTTTCCGGTTTTGGTTTCTGTCAAAGGCAAACAGCTCAAGAATAATTAGATGTGGTTCCTTTCAGGTTGAGAATGAATATGGTGATACTGAAAAAGTTTATGGAGATGGTGGGAAGCTTTATGCAATGTGGGCTGCAGATATGGCGCTTTCTCAAGACATTGGTGTACCTTGGATTATGTGTCAGCAGTATGATGCACCTGCACGTGTGGTAAGGATCAGTCAGCAGTATAGCATTACTTTTGTATGACTTTTTTTGTTGTTTTTTGATTTTGTGCTTTTGCTTTTTTGAGCTTGTTCCTGTTTTAAAATAACAAAATTATTCTAAATGAATTAATATTGTATTTTTTTTGGTAGATTAATACGTGCAACTCTTTTTATTGTGATCAATTTGCTCCGAACTCCCCCAGCAAACCAAAGATTTGGACAGAGAATTGGCCAGGGTGGTAAGTACATTGCTGGTATTAAAATCTTCTTGCTAACATGAAGCTGCTATTTTTTTTTTGCGTATCTTATAATCAAGCTTTTCTGAAGTCTTGTATCATCTGCGCAGTAGTTATGCTAAGCTTTCTTGTAAAGCTTGTCCATAGTCGAAGCTTATTAATATATCAAAAAGGGCGTATGGTTTAATCTGATTTTTAATATTAGTTACAATATAGTTGCACTTCTTGTGAAATACTCGTATTTTTTTCCTTTTCTTCTTATTATATTGGCGTAGCAATGCAGGGAGGGAAGAAGGGATAAGGTGATGATAACATGAGAAATAGAAGAGTAGAGGATGGGGGATGAAGGAAATTGTCTTTACCTTTTTTTTTACCTTTTTGACAAGTCTTATTGGGGCTATTTTAGTATGGTGGTTGTTCACAAATTCATGGTTGATCTACTTTTAGTTAAGGATTATACTATGGACTTTTTGATTTTTGTCAAATTCTTATTAAGCTATTCCATATTTTGATCACTCAAGATTCTATTCAAAGAATATGTATGATGGATTCCAATACGTATGGTTATATGGTCACCACATTCTTATTATTCTAATTTGGATTATTTTTTCACATCTACGGATTTGCTATTTCAATTAATCCATGATTTACTCTAGTCAACTGCTTGGATATTCCTTTATAGAAAATTTTAGATTAACTACACTTCAATTTGCTTCTGTAGTCTGCAGAAGGTCGATCTTGATGATATTCTGTCATATTGTTCTTATTGCAATATATTTGATTAAAATTTTTCAGAATGGCTCAGCGCACCTAGAGTTGTGAAATCCTCAATATCGTGGTAGTCAGTATCTTCCAATTGATAAAAAAACCTTTCTTGTAATGCAATGATAGCATTTTCTACTACTTCTGACTAGCTTGTGCTCAAATCTTTGAATCAACTCTGGAACTTGGAGTCAATACCTTCTCAGGTTGCCAGCCCTATGATTATGATGGTTTCTGCCCCTACTCTTGTTATTAATGATCTCTGCCCACCCTATTGTGGTTCTTGCTCTTGTTTATGTTTTTGTTGTCAGAGACGTGAATGATCTTAGCTCTCTTTCAATTGCTTATGATGTTAGCATTTCTTGAATCGAGGAGCTTGTGGATGGTGAATCAAGATCTACAGAGCTTGTTTATGTTTTTATTGTTGGGGATGTGAATCATAATCTACATTCGTGTGAATTGAAGCCGTGACATTATTTCAGCAAGGGTATGATGTTTAGCCTCAGTAACCTGTAATTCTGCCACAGCTCGAGCCATGCAACATCAGCATCTATCATGACATGGTGATGAATCTGATAGAGATTTCATTTACTTGTGCCCATCCTGCTTGTTGTGCTTCAAGATCTACCTTGTAGACATCGAATCTCTAATCTCCTTTCAGAGATTCTTTATCTTGGAGGAGAGGCTATCATTTTCAATTGAAAGACTGACAAATCTATGACTATCTTGCCTCATAGCCACGAAACTTTTTCAAACTCGTCGTGGGCCACATTAGCAGCTTTTGGTTGAATTCTAACCTTCTCATGAAGATCATGCAATAAGAGTGGATATGAAACACTTGAAGATTTTAAATAAATCCTATCAATAGTGATGAAAAACAGCAAAATGCTCCACAAATCCTATGAAAAATCAACAAAACAGTAATTTTTATTGAAGAAATCAAACTACCGGAAGAAATAAACAAAGATACAATTGATCCTCTATTTGAAAGGAGGATCTATCTAAACTGTTAGAGCCCAAAAAAATCTAAACCTAAGAGATCTCAAATTTCAGATAAATTCAAGATGAAACCCTAACACTTACAAGATAAACTATTTAAAGCAAAGAAGATTACAAAATCCCTAAACAACCCCTAGTTCAAAATTTTCCTCCCAAAGCAATATTTAATTGAGTTGCTCTCTCCCAAAGCAATATTTAATTGAGTCCCTCCCAAAGCAATATTTAATTGAGTTGTTCCCTCTCAAAGTAATATTTAATTGAGTTGTTCCCTCCCAAAGCATTATTTAATTGAGTCCTTCCCAAAACAATATTTAATTGAGTTGTTCCCTTTAAAATAATATTTAATTGAATCCCCTTATTCAAATTTGACTGGTCTAATAATATTCTCCTCCCAAAGATCCACCTTGTCCTCAAGGTGGAAGGATGAGATGCTGTTGATAGCTTTGTTCAGTTGCTCTGTTAGTGGCCATGCTATCATCCACTGGAATCAAGTTAAAGCTTTCCTCTCTAGACATAGTCATGCAACCATAAACTTCACCTACTCAGTCAACCCATTCACCATGAAATACATCTCCACTTGGTACACCCATCCATAAGCATCCTCCCTTTTAAATACTGGCATCCCCAACTTCCTCACCCTAGGATCACTACCACCCCAATAGCTTCTTCCTTCTCTAGCATAGCGGTTGTCGTGATCCCTCCATATTTCTCTCATATATCATGGGTGGGAATCTGTTACGCCGGCCCAGGAGGGGCCGGCTGGACCGGTCCAACCCGGACTGGTCCACACCTACAGAAGGCGGAACTGAGCAAGGCGGGCGGAACCCAGCGGAACGAGCGAATCCGACGGGGGCCAAGGAAGAGTTTTGGGAGGGAAATTTTGAATGCGAGGGGTTGTTTAGACATTTTGTAAAACTCCTTTATGGTTAATTAGGAGATTAGGAGGAAAGGGGGGGGAGATTATCTTGAATTTGAATTGCTTGGAGATCTAGGGTTTGGTGTTCTTGGGCTCTTGGCTTTGCTGGAGATCTTTGGAGAGTTTTTCCTTCCTCTCGAATTGAAGGAAAGTTGTATCTTTCAAGTGCTTTTCATCGTCTAGTGGAATAAAAGTGTTTGCTTCGTTTTCCTACGATTTCTCCTATGTTTCCTCTCAGTTTTTCTCGTATTTTTGCTGTTTTTCTGCTGTGGACATGTCACGACCCGGCCCGGTTAGCTCGTAAATTCGAGGCGGGAACGAAGTCGGACGATCAAAACAATTTAATCATCAAATTTCATACATAACAATTCCAAAAGACTTCACATAAAAGCGCCTCTAAAACTTTTTAATTTCAAACCACTGATTGTTCACAATATACAAGATGGCTATTTAATCAAATCATGCTCTACATGCTATCCAAAATAAATAAAGTAAGGGACTACAACAACTACTGAAAACAGTAAAATAACCTGCCACCCGTTGCGCGTCGACTGTACGTAAACCTCGGGTGTTCAGCCATCACCTAAGAGTAAGTTCTCCTAAAAATTTCCCAAAACTAGGGATGAGCTACGCTCAGTAATTGACAACTATAGCAAAAGTTCATGTACATTTAAAAGAAAAGATCTTGTGGATTAATAATCTACACATGAGGTAATAGATGTCTTAATGTATGTTGAATATGATATGAGATATGTATGTCTAAAGCATGAAATAGATTTCTTAACATGAGAGAAAATGAAATACTTGCATATGTTTATCTTTCTATTCATATTGTATACAGCCGTCCCGGAGTACCGAATTGTATTTATTAGGTACAATCTTTAATGGCCATATCCTTTTCCTTTCTTTCCATTTTGCCTTAAAGGCCGTCTTTGCTCAAAGAGCCACATCTTGGTACTCCGTCATCAACAATCACAAGTTATGCATTTCATATATGGTATACATGTCATAAGTATGAGAGATTTAAGCATGAAAATATGCAAATGCTCATGATTTCATATGAATTGCTAAAAAGTTTTTCTAACATATACTTTAAAACCATTAATGAACGTGAACATGGCATATAGACTTTGAACATTAAATTTCATCTTCTTTGCAAGGCTTTGAACATAATTTTCTATCTTCTTTACAAATCATAAAATAAGTAAGATATATATATAAAGAAATGAACATGTTCTTTAGCATATAGAGTCACTTACCCTCAAGTCTTCCTTTGCAATATTTCCCGCACAATTCCTTACCACGTTTCTATATTTCAACCTAAGGGAAAAGAAGTTTTCAATGACTATTACAAGCATTTAAAATCGCAAACATCGTTAATTTTATTTAAAATTAAATGTTATTTTCGGATTTGTCAAAAATCCCAACATTTATACTTTCAATATTTGATATTTTCATTTCTTAAGCATACAAAAACATTCCCTTCATCTAAGTAGTAAATAATATTAATAATTTTCGGATTTATCTTAGATAAAAATTTTAAAAAATGATTTTCTTTCAAATTCCCTAATTAGGGACTTCCCTAAGTCCTTAGTAATATACTTATTACTTAGTGAACATGCAACCTAAAAAAAACTAAGTTTGGAAAAATCCTAAATTTTCTCTAATTTTTCCACTCAAATTTGCTAATTGAAAAATTACTTTTTTAATGCCAAAAGTCTTCCCTTAAGCTATTCTAATCATTCCCGTAAAAATTTCATCAAAATGAGAAACCCTAAAATTCGGATTTAGTGTTTTTTTTAAAAAAATTTGACATGAATGATAGGAAAACATAGATCAAGTCAAACCCTAAAAGTTTCATAAAGAAATTTCTCAAACACACAAACCCTAAAATTTTTCTATACAAAAATCTCATGAAAACTTCCATTTCTTTTAAGAAAAACTTACCTCAAGTTTTCCTCTACGATTTTCCTAAAGAAGTTCACCGGAATCTCGCCGGAATCGCGCCCGCCGAGCTCTCCCGTCACCACTCCTCCCTTTCTCTCGCGTGCGGTCGAAGGAAACAAGGGACCGAAATGTTCGGTCCCTTAGGCATATGAGGGGGATTAAGGAGATTTAGGAAGTAAAATTATGCATGTACCCTCACTAGTTTCATTTCCCTTAAGAACTCTTAGGGGCAAAATTGGAAAATAAGGCAAAATGTTACTTAAACGAACTTCGGCGAATTTTAACTTCAAAATCGTGCGAAATTTAATATAAGTTATTTATACCGTTTCGATCGAAATTTCGAGACGAATATAATAAAATTTATTTCGTCGAATTCCGA